TGGAGAGAGGGAAGTCTGGGCATCTTTGCTTAGACTGCTGCCCCCGCGACCCGGTCCCGGATAAGCGGAGGAAAATGAATGGATGGATGGATCCTCTAGCTGAATATAGCTAAGAGGAATTTTTAATGATTGGTCCTCAACAAGTTCCACATGCACTTAATCGGTCTGTTCTCATACAGCAAACCTGTTTATGACAGGTGTTAATCTTGACTCTAGTGAATTAGAGTTTTGTAAAGCAATAATGTATGCGACTGACCCCATTTTAATCAAATCTACTACTTTGCTGAATTGGTTATGTTGTTTGAATTGAATCCTGTAATAAATCTTTAATGCCCTGCTGTCACTGGGAAATCTGGCTTTTTACCTGCTCAAGGAACTTTCTAAAAATGTCTGAATTCTAATGGGACTGGTCCGAACCAGCCCAGCATGAGCGAGACTCTTCTGTCAGACAGAGAAAGGAGGAAGAGATGGAGAGAGGGGATAAGAAGGAAGAAGCATCAGGGCATAGGAGGATTGCGTGTGTGTCAGGGTTGGTGACAGAAGTGCGCCCTGCTTGTTCCAGTGGCTGGCACCTGTCACTGCTCATCAACAACATACTGAACCCCCTGAAGACGTCTCTCTGTCGCTCACTCGCTCCAGCTTCCTCACCGCTCTAATTCTCTCCCTCACACTTATTGTTGACTGTTTCACATCACTGGTCTTTCTTCCATTTTAATTTCTCCTTCTCTTTATCACTGTGACTCTCACACATACACACACAAACACATAATTTCCACCTCGCTCGCTCTCTCTCGCTTTCTATTGTCATCCTTTTGTACCACTGTAACATCTATTCTTTCTCTCCTCCGATGTGCCATAATAAAGTGTCTGGGCCTCTCTCTAAAGTGCTAAATGAGATTCTCGGGCCTCCAGGGTGGATACTGAGTGTGATGTGTGTGTGTGCGTGTTTGATAAGAGAGAGGGAGGGCAAGAGAGAATGAGAGAGAGCGACAGATGGAGATGCATGTACATACTGCACAGGCAAAGTCTGGCTGTCTAGCTTAAGGGAGAGAGCAGTCACACAGAGCAATAAAGCTTGAAGTGCTGGTTTACACAGGCCATTGGAAATACAGAAGGAAGGGGAAGGAAGTCTAGACATAACTATAAAATGAGTAAGATCCCATTACATCTAAACCTGCCTGACACTTCAAATTAAAGGTGTACTGACACTATGGGGAGTTCAGATCATGCGGCATCTTGTCACACTACTAGAACCACAGTGTCACTTAGACTTTAGTAGTGTGCAGATCTCGATCTGCTACATGTGACAACTTGACATGTAAGGTCCTATGTAGTGTACAGTATATTCTATATCTTGTTTACCCGAAGTAAGCAGCTGAACAAAACAGACAAATTGCCACTTCTAATTTTTAGCCAGTGCAGAAATGTTAACAGACAAATATCAGTGGAGGGTGATTCCACCATGTGTAGATAAATTATTAGCTACTCTGTAATAAAACATATAGCTGTTGTAATGTGCACTCAACAAGCCATTGTATGTACTCAGCCAGAGACTGATTTTGACTGTTTTTAAAAAAAAATTCATAACTCTGCAACACCGCTCTAAAGCCCCTTTTAGATATGCTCTGGAACCCTGAAATTATCCAGACATTACACGGGGAAGCCGCATGTCAGAACACAAATGTCTCAGTCAGTTGGCCAGACCTTAAATGGACTTTACTCTGCCAGCTCCCAGTACAAAGTCTGTGTACAGTCTTATTGAGCCCGTGTGAGAAAAGAGCAGCGTGTAGTTTGGAGTAGTAACACGGAGCTAGTGGGCGTGTTGATGACGGAAGAATACAAACATCTATTGGTGAAGAAAAACAGTCATTGACAATGAAGACGCCAACAAAAATATTAATAAGGCAAGGCAAGGAACTCAGTTGTTTATGACCACATGTCAAACCAGCTACAGGATCGCTTCATGTTTCACTGTCTTCATGCTCTACCCAGATGCAACCCTCGCATAGTCAAATGTAATATTTCCAGTAGGTGAGAACGTGACTGAAAAGGATCATCTCCTGGTGTGTACTACATGTATAGACCAGAGTTTAGGTGTGAAAACGCCTTAAAACTGTGTGTTTTTTAGTTCAAAACCCTAATAGTGTGGTGATGTGAAATGCAAGAGACCCATAGTTTCACTTTAATGCATGCCTAGTAAATAATGCATAATGCTTTAAGTTTTTTAAATTCATAATTTTCAACTGGGACCTTGAGTATTTGCAACAAATGAAAAATAAGTTAAATGCTTGAGTTGTATTTACTTATTAACTTAGAAATGTTTAAAGGTAAACCATTAAATCTAATAAGGGGTTTGAAAGGAATACAAAGCAGAACTGTACTTGATAAAATGCTATTCAACTCCAACCCTAGAATAAATTATGGCACAAAGCCTTATGCGGGCCTGAAAAAGCCAAACCAAATCAAAGGAAAGTAAAATACAGAGTATATTTACTCTTTGCAACATTCCTGTTGGGGAACAGTCTTAAACTACTCTGTATTCTTTCACAGTTTGTATCTGAAGTTCTAGCTTTACAGTCTCTGCTAAAAACCACAATGGGGGGGTGGGGGTAATCCAAGGTTAATTTAGTTGTGTTTAAGTGATCGCTACTTTTCCTTCGAACTAAAAATAAGAGGAAAAATCATTAAGAATGAATCAAAAAAGGCAGAAAAGGCAGCTAAGGAAGCCCAGAGAGCTTTTTTTTTCTACGAATATAAATCCACTTTCTGGATTAGAGCGATTAAATGAAGCTGTAAAAGGTCAAACAAATTATTCCTTGACTCCAAAAAGTCAGTGCTTCAATCAAAGTCAATGGAGCAGCACATGATTCTACATCTTAATGATACTGCTGATTACAGACTTGGCTCTCTGCTTTCTACCTTTGGACAAGGGTAGTTTATGTTGACATACTATTAATTCTACTTCCCTTGGTCTCAGCTGTAAAATGTCTATAAATTCACTGCAGTATCTCTATTCAGCAGTGCTGGCAAGGTGGCTGCATGTACTGGCTTAATTAATACATTAACACTGATGTATAATGCAAGTAACAGTCCTGGTAACCCTGGATTTTCTTTTTCCCTCTCTACTCTAATCCTCTTGCTATCATTCCTTTCATCTTTGCTACACACTCACTCAGCCTTTCAGCACCGCTTTATCTTCTTGTATCTCTTTTATAACATTACTTTTCAATCAATTTCAAGCAATCCTCACTTCAAAACACTACTTCCCCATATCAAGTGAATATGGGGGGTGTCTGTCCCATGAGATTAGACTAATGATGATACTAAGGCTCTTGGAAAGTCGTTTGCATTCATTGAGACAAGCAGAATACATTAAGATATATTAGGTCAAAAACAGGCTGTGTGATTGCTTTAAGGTGACCCAGTACCCACGATGGCTACAAAGGTATTAAGTAGGAAAGCTAGAAGGACATTTTCATATCATTAAATCCACCTTCTACAATAGTTCTTGGAAATACTTATCTGAATGTAACTACATGCAGTTAGTATAAGTAGTTACTGTTTGATGCTACCTCTTGTTATTACAGCAACCCAGCTCTTTAGCACAATTGATTATTTATGGTTAGTTTGTTTCAGTTTAAGTTCAGTTGATGTACTGACCCGTACCTCCATCTCCTTGAGCACAGGGTGGTCTTCAATCCCAGGGAACAGGACCCTCATTGCATAAATTCGATAATCCAGGAAGGGAATCCCAGCTCCGTCCAGCTCCTGGGTCAGTTCGTGGATGTCTGTCTGAAGCTCAGCGAAAGCTAAAAAAAAAAAAAAAACACAGTGGAGGCAAATGGAGAAAAAGAGAAAATGTCAGGATGAATTATAGTGAAGGATTAGCTTTGTAATTTGTCCAAAAGCCCTGCCAACACAGCCTTGACTGTACTTCCATTTATTTTTGATCAGATAGTCCCATATAGGTCCGCTCCTAAAGGTTCAGTCAAATCAGCATTTAATACAGCAAAATTCTGTGGTGACATAAATTCGTTTTAATAAAATCTATAAGTGAATTGGAGTGAATCTTTTATATGGACTTCAATTATAGTGAACCCTGACAATCTGAACTTTGACAGAACAAAGGTGGAAAGTTCAAAATGGAGGATGCTATCACAACTTCATAGCTGTGCTGTATCATTCAATTTTTGAAGTATAAACTGCTCCACAAAAGACCTTTGTGTATCACGTCTGTAACCTTGTCTATTTTTTTGTGAACATGCAAATGTCAGGTGTGACCATGCTTTAATGTACTGTAGATATTAATATTAATACCAGTGACTAACAGTGCCTGGTTGTTGTTCATATGAGTGCTGTCCAATTTTTTTTTGTGGTTTGCCAGTTTTTTCCTCTAAATTTTGATTGAGTGTCTCTCTGGGACTGCTAACTCAAATGTTGACCTAGTGAGAATTAAGACACGGTCCCTTGTCACTACATTCACCTGCAAGTGAGACCTTTGCGCAACGTGACTTCTCATGGTGTCCCACATGTGAGAAAAGGCAACTGTGTTCACTGAAATGAACAATCAGCAGTTTTAAGGCCAGGTTTTCTACACTGATAGCGACAAGTGGAACTTCAAACTCCTACTTCACCATAGGAAGCCCTTTTTTTTCCAGCATGATTGAATTATAAAGTGACAAGTTCTACTAGCTTCAAGTTATGAAGCACAAATTTTGGAGAGTAATTTACACATTATTCCAAACCTGTGGTAATGACCAAGAAGAAACTGAGAGCTGATCAAAGAATCAGAACACAATTATGCCTGCGCATAATTTCATGCCTGGGTCTTAAAAGTAGGGGTATATCATGTGCAGTGCAGCTGGCTCACTATGATACAGTAGGGCCAAAAAATACAGGTCAGCTTTGAAAAGAAAAGAGACCCCCAAAGGCAATACATGACATGAGACCTGAACTAAATGAAATAAAAACACAGACAAGACAGAAGCATGAGAGAATTCAAGGTTAGGATGCCATTAAAGCACAGTTACACATCCAGAATCAGCAATTAAAGTTACCTTTAGTAAAGGACATGTTGCTTGAGATGTGCATTTTTTTTAATCTAATGTAGAGTAAGTACAGATAAATCCAGAGATGAAACTTAACATGTCACTGAAAGACAGAGATAAAAAATCTACGGAACTGTTTTTTTATTGGCGTCTTAGTCCTGACAAATTCTGTTTCTGTTTGCCCCCCCCAAAAAGACCCAAACCCAGTGCAATAAAAAAGAAAGTTAGCCCAGGGAGAGAGTAGCAGAACCCAGAGACAGAAAACAAAGTTCCTGGAAAGGAAAGTCAATTAATTGCATGAGTGGATAATTATTAAGAGAGCAACGGATGACTTTTCATGCACAATTTCCCCCAGCTGTTATTGGACTGTGTGGTCCACAAGAGAGATGGAAAGGGGAGGAAACAAAGAAGATAAAGGGAAGAATGGAAAAGGGGGAAAGGAGAAGAATGAAAGAGCAAGAGGTGAAAAAACAAGAATGATAAAGCTGAGAGGAAAGGAAATATAGACAACGGGGGGCATAAGCGATTAGGACCAAGAGGAAGAGGAGTAAAAGATCAGGAGGTACAGGTCAGACTGCAGAAGAAGTGGAGATAAGGGAAGAGAGAAAAACAAAAGAGGCTTAACAAAAGAAGCAGAAGGGGAGACAGAGCCAACAAAGAAATGTACCCTCATTCTAATGCTTCCAATAAAATGATGTGGATTAAATTGACTGTAAACCGGGAACACAAAAGAAGTTCAAAAACCCCATTCAGCCGAGTCTCACTATCATCTGTTGCTGTAACATGACTTTGATTTTATATCCAGTTGATACCCGCTTTCACTTTGGTTGCTGTAAGCACTGTGTCTGTGTGTTTTGCTTAACAAACTCCTCTTGTGCTTCTGAAAGCACATACTGCAAGGAAGACAAGACCTCAGTCGAAACAAAGTCTGGGACGTGAAGCCTACAAATGCCACAGCACCGACTGTGTGTACATTGGCATCTAACCTATGCTTTGCTGTGAATTTTCCCATTTGCATTTTGTTTGCTTCTCAAATAGCATCTCACAAAAACCTTATTGCCTACTCTGGACTAATAAATGACATTTGCCAGTCAGCAGTCATTTCTAATGTGTGACTTATTATCCATGACTGCCAATATGCTAGTTTGGATGACAGTGTAGGGTGTGATGTCTGCTTCTCATGGATGACTGGACCAAATGTCCCCTGTCGCTCCCCGCTAAAGACTCTAAGAGGGAAGCCGACCTCACACTCACAAGCTTTCTTTTACAATCACAAACACAGGGACCGCCCACTTCATCTGTTCCTCTGTCCACACTCGCTGTCTCGTCTCTATAGGCCAGCTGGGGGGGCGGGGTGCTTTTTGGGAGGTGGGAATAAAGCCATGCTTCACTTCCAGGAAAACTAAGTGTTCTTACAGCTCCCTTTTTATAATACTGTCTAGCTTCTCATTGTGGAAAGTGCAGGACTTTTTTTAAGTTGTGTTTTTTGAAGAACACTAGTAACATCTCAAACTACAGTGAGAACACATTTAAACATCCCCTCAGTCAGAAACTGTGCACTGCTCTCCTTGAAACTGTAGTGCTTTAAATCAAAAGCTGCTGCAGGTTTTGTTTGACAACCGATCCTTGGTGGCTGATTGCGCTGTGACTCTGTGTCATGACTGTAGTGGAAACATATTATAACCTTGTACCATGACTGTGTGTGCCTGTGTTGTTATATTGAATCTAAACACCTGGGCTGTCCTTACATCAGTCATCTGCTAGGTTACTAAAAGTCCCACCTCCCATAAGACCCCTGGAGGTCCTTCTCAGTCCGGAGCTGTCTCTCGATGTCTTGTCTCGTTCCTCTGTTATTTACCTCTCATTCATTTTACCTCTCATTTCTATACAAACAATCCCCTTGATATTTTGACCTCACATCCTTCCCAACACTTTGCATGCTCTGTCTTTTCTGACACTCTTTTGCTGTTTTTCTGCAGACAGATAAACTGCATGTTACACAGCTCTCTGCATCACCACCATCCACCTGTAGAGTTCGAGTTTCACTGAGATAATCTGTGTCAAGGAGCACTGAAGCTACAGACACCCATCTGTGTGTCATGTCAGTTCTTAGTACCTGTGAGTCAAAGCGCATGCAGTACCATTTGGTTAGCTTGACTGTATTTCTGTGATGATGCAATATCACTGTAACGAGTTCCTTCTGTTATGTATAATTTTATACTAGGCATGAATTTTCACATTTTATTTGCTAAGAGTCACGTAGGACACAGTGATGCATTTGCTTCAGTAAACATACCCTGCAGACACCCTGTTGACAGCAATGACAGCAGAGTTTAACTGCAATTGATGGCATTGCTTGTTCCCTGTCTGCAGCTTCTTTTGCTAACTATATATCACTCAGTACACACATGCTACCTATAAATCTATAGGTACATTATTTTCACTGTATGCCTTTTTGACTATAAAATGTCTGTACAGAATTTCATAACCATCCATCCACCCCTTGGCTAAACCTCCTTATCCTCGTGGGTCATAGGGGGCAGGAGCCGATCCCAGCTAAAACTGGACGAGAGGCGAAGTACACCCTGGGCAAGTCACCTGTCAATCACATTGCTGATACACAGAGTGAGACAACCACTCACATTCACACACACAAGCAATTTAGAGTTGCCACTTAACCCAACCTGCATGTCTCTGGACTGCAGGGGGAAATCATAGCACCCGGAAGAAACGGGGCACCACACAGTCACTGTGAGACCATGCACAGTCCACACAGAAAGGCTGCGGCTGGCTGGCAGGGTCAAACCCAGAACATACTTGCTATGAGGCGACAGTACTAACCATGCTGTCATTTGATATAACCTAAAAATATATATAAACCCAGGCTGATATAACAAAAATGCCCCTAAAAATGTGAAAGCTACAGCTAACAAAAAGCTATCATAGCATAAAGACTAGAAACAGGGCAAAACAGCACCTCTACTACAGTAGCACCTCTGTGGCTTATTAACTGTCTTCTTGCCATCTTGAGGTTTCTAGGCAACTGGTGTGAATGCCATTCTATTCCTTATTTATTCTACAAATGTATATGAACAACAAAATATCAGTTAAATACTATTTGTTTCATGAAAACGTAGAGCTCCGAATTGCGCGATATTTACATGATTCCAGTGATTTACACTACTTTTTAAAAACCTCACATTTTTTTCAGGTACCGCAACTGCTATGAAATGTGCACTATTTGACAAACAAAAGACATGCATACACTTAAGTTACTTTCCATCATTTAAAAGTTTGAAACCTATGTATGTAACCTTAGGTTTTAATATTTATCTTCTAATGGTTTACACTTTAATTTGGAGTACTGCTTTAAAGAAACTGTGTGCACATTGCCTTTATTACCTACCTTCTTTACATTCCAGGGCCACTCTGGACTCCAGGTTGTCCATCTGGAGCTGAAGGCGTTTCAGGGTGCGGTCAGCGTCCCTCGACTTCCGCTTATAGGCTATCAGCACAGCAATGATGACCAATAGAAGCAGGCCACCGCCCCCTCCAATGCCAATGATCGCAGGAAGTGTTAGCAGGCTGTCTGAGTAGATGTGAAGAGTCCCGGGGGAATACTCAAACCCGCCAGCACGGATCTGAACACAGAAACACAAATTATTTTTAATGATCAAAGGAGAAAAGACAGAGGTTCCTCTAACGCCCTTCTTTATTCATACAGTTTCATAGTTATTCAGCAGAGACCTGCGACCTGAGGCTTCTGCTGGTGGCCGCTGAGCAGCTGTGTTTTCAGAGCTGAAGGCTCAGTGCATTGCTCCACCACAGTAGTTAAGGGAGAGAAAATTGCCAATTATTTACTTTCCCCATGAGATTTTCTGCAGATGGTTGGGGGATGCCCAGAAAAGCATAAAAACCAACCAGTGGTCATTCCTTCAACAGCAGCTAGTTTGAAAACATGAGGTGGTCTGAAGAGATCAAAAGCTGGTGGTCTGATGAAAGAGGTATTGGTTGACCCAATTTTTACTGTGAGGATCATTAAAATTTGATTTGTTCTGCACCCACACTAAGCAGGCTGATCTCTGACAGGCTCATTGTGTTGAGGCTTACATCACTTCGACTGCTGCGAGCATTAAGTTTTCAATTCTTCCCTTCAGGGGAGCAGCTTCAGACGGCTTTGATGATGAAGATCTCACAAGTTAACTTGCTCAGTCCTTTTAATGATTTACTTTCCACTGCATTGTCTGCAGATACTTAGGCTCAATATTCGAGTTTTAAGATAGATATCTTGTTGTTAACGTCATCAGTTATCACAGTCAACTTTAGCAAAATGTTTAAGGTCAGAAAGTGAATGCGGAGGTAGATACAAAGTGTTAAAACAATAGTTAGTTATATTCACACACTTAGGACACATGAAACTCTCAACACACATGCAGTACACACACCCATACTCACACAGCACAAGTAATCAAACAAAGTAATCACCAGCATTTAAATCTCCCCCCAAGGAGCCTTGCTAATTATGGGAAGTCAAACACATGTAATGCTTTCCTTTTTTTTCTGACTGACTACATTAACATAAGCACAATGTGTCTCAGAGACAGAGAAAAAACAAAACAAAGCAAAAGTGGAATCCATCAAATCAAGCTCTCCACCGAGGGGGTTGATAACCGATTCAAATGAGGTGTGATTATGTACTTTGAAGTTCTTGTAAGTGCACTTTCTTGTTAACATTATCAAAGTCTGATTGAAAAACTAAAACACAGAAGCACTTATATCAATATCGATGTATTCAATACTTACAAATTCAATTTGCAATAGTAGAGACAATTAAACAGGCACATATAAGATTAAGTAGCCAATTAGCTGTGCAGACACAATCAGGTTACAAAGACGTTGGTTTGGAGACTGAACTGTATTAACTTGGATTATAGTAATTAAGTTGCAGAAATACAGTTTGTTATTCAGACTGATAATTTCAACAGATTGTAAGTCAGTCTGATGATTTCGGTGTAGCTCATGCACCTTTCATTGTAGAGCAAGTATGTGATATTGCATTCATGTAGAACAGGTAACTCCACATATTTTACCCACTAAAGCTGTTCTAATAACTATTTATATGAAATGTGAATGTTGTGAATATGATGAATCAACAGAGAATTCCTCCTGAATTCATGTGGCATTTTAGCATATTTAAGCTCAAAAGACTGCATTTACTGCCTGTAACTTAAATGTTTTTGGTTTACTCTTCCAGCTTTTAATTTCAACCAGCAGATGCTTTCAGAGAAAGAGGTCCAATAAACCCACTGTACACTACCTGCACAGCACCAATCAGCAGACACACAAAGGTAGCGACTAGCTAGTAAACATAATGGAGCATTTAGTGGCTAAAGAGCCAAATACTTCTTTCAGGAGACGAGAACAGAGACAGAGAATATTGGACTTATATTTGTAGAGTAGCTACATGTGAACATATATCAGTGGCACAGCGGTATAAGTATTACAAAGAAAAACAATTATTCAACATTGTTTGTGTCAGCATGGGATGGGCTTTGTTTTTAGTTGCATGAGGTAAATTAGGGGGATTTCCTCTCATGCTTTTTCACAGAGGATATTTTGACATCAGAGAAAGAAAAGCACAGGTATAAATAATTAAATTAAGCACGGCTGAATTCCATTTAGCTGTTTTAGTTTCAAGGTCCTGGTATTGTGCATGCATCATTCAATGCTGCCACGGCCAGTGGGACCATTGAACAGAACAGAGCCACTGTTAATGTTATTTGTAACACCCGCCCATGAGCAAAGAAAAAAGGATGCTGGATTTGAGAATTTTTGACATACACGCTATGGTTGTTAGCCCTCAAACTGTCAATTTTCAAATAATCAGAAGTAACTGGAATATCTGGTTCAATTAACTCAGGCTAAACATACCCTCAGATGACTTGAATGCAACATGAGTATTAGGAACATTAGGTTGGTTTTCTTCTCTAGGTATTCATCTAATTTTACTCTCTTGACAGACTGAAGACTGAGGGAGGAAGTGAACAAGCTGAAGGCCAAAACCACAAACAAGTTTCTTTGAAAACTCAAGGGAGGCAAACAGCTGCCAACACACAGCTGAGCATCTGAAGGGACACACAAAGACACACTAATATACACATACATTGCTTCTTACTATACACGCGCACAGACACACACACAGTATGTCTGGACACCCAGTGGGGTCCCCTGTATGTAGGTCATGGGGAAAATTATTGCACCACCCACAGCTGTGTTCTTCTCCGCACGACACGGCAAAGATATGCGTATAAACAAAGACATATGAACACTCACACACAAGAGATGAGACAAACATGGTGCATGTAATAACACACAGCAGAACAGATAGGAACAGACAGCTGGATTTTGTCTTCGGCTATTGTCAGATGAAGGACTAACTCCACCAGCCCCGCCAACACGTCGCATTGCTCTAATATTCAACATGACATTTTGTTAAAAAAAAAATTCAAGAGCGTTCCACCTTGGAGCTGGCTGGTTCTGTTGAGAGCTATCACACCGAATTATATGGATGTGCTGTCAGTGGCTTTCTACATATAGTGGCTGTAGCTAGCGGGGAGTGAATGTCATAAAGATCTCGTGAAATGACTCTGAAAGGACACTGGTGATACGTTTAAAATGGGCAGAACAGGGTCGGGGGAGGCCGGGGGAATGAATGGAGGTACTGGCAGGATATTCACACAAACATCCAAATATATTCAGATTGAATGCTGTGTCATCTGGCTTTTTTTAATGCAGACAAACCAGGAGCTGCACAGTGATTTTGAAAGTCTGCTCCAGTCATAGTGAATCAGAGATTTCAGTCTGCAGTCTGCTGACAGCTCAACACTCTGCACAAGTAAAACTGAACAGTTGTATGGGTCACATGTGTACACTTGTTGTACTCTATTATATTGCAATTTAGGAAAATCTGAGACCCTAGAAAGTGACATTGACAGCATTCACACTGTGGGTGGTAGTAAAAAAAAAAGTAGGTTTTTTTTTGTTAGTTTAGTTCTTGCAACAATTCACATAGAAAACAGAAAGTATAACTCGGAGATGAAGCTCTAAAAATGGCAACTACAGCTTGGATTTGCTGAGAGTTGGACAGAATTTTCACATCAGAAAAGTTTATACAGTGAACAAGGCTCCCAGGTTATAGCTTAGAGATGAGTGTTTGTGTATCAGTGGCATCTTGGAGAAACAATTGTACTCTTAATACCACCTTTTATATTTCTGGATAACTCAAAGACAGCTCCACTGGTGACAGCGCCTTGTCATGGACATAACCTGTAACAAAAGTGGACATTCACACTTCTCTTATGGCTTACCAAAAATGACATACATACATACATACAACTTAGTTTGCCCAAATTCACCAATTCAGTCTCTAGTCAGGCTTGTAAACTAAGATAGGGTGAAAAAGGTGACAGAGGCTCCTGTAGGACAAGGGGCATTGTTCGGGAACTATGTTAACATGTAGAAGCGGCATTCTGATGCACTTTGAGATAGAAAAAGGGGGAAATAATTATGCTTTCTGTTGTGGGTATCTTGCAAAGGGTTCATGAAATTCTGACAGTGGCACTGTTACTGCCACCCTGCACCCCACTGCACAGACATAGACAATGAAATTCAGTTGCATAATAAGTGCATAATATTTAATGAGTTAATTATTAAACAACAATAGTTTCAGACCATTGCTAAACAAAACAAGCAATTTGAAGATGTCATTGTGGGCTGTGGAAATTGTACAGGCCAGTTTCATGTATCATCATTTTACTGACTAAGCAATCAATACAATTATTGACAGACCAACAGAGGATTAAAGATAACTGCTAATTGAAGCCCAGTCATTTCTGTCTTTTGGCCTGCATGAAGATTTCAATTGTCTGTTGCTGCTGCTCAGCTGTGTGCCTGATCTAATGATGCCAATAGCACACACACATAACCAAACACACACACACACCTGAATGTATTAAAAGAGTTTTTATGATATATTGGGTGTCCCATACATACAAATTATGGTACTTATGTCGCTCATTTGAGTCAGGCCTGGGAGCTGCGACTGAACGTAATAAAACTGCTTCTCTTCTGGAGAGTTACTGATGTTAAGATGCAGCAGGTGTGTGGCATTTTACATAGAAACAACAGGTGCGGAATTTGATGCACATCAAACGCCCTGAGAAGTGAATCAGTGGCATTTCATAGAAGACTAGTAAGGGTAAATCAAGCTCCACAATGCACCGATTTCAGTGCGTCACTGCTGTAGCTGGACCAGACTTAGCAGGAGTTACAAAAGCTCACTTTGGACAAGGAGACTCTAGCTGTAGCTCATTTGTTCAGCAATATTTCAGGTAACAGCCACAGAACACACAGAGGATTCCCCCAGTTTGCATTACAGGTACATGGATGTGGTAAATCAGGGTCTGCATCATGTGAGCTGAGTTTGATTTGCCCAAGCAGAACACAAACCCCCATTAACGGGGCTGTGATTACACTCTCACAGGTTCTGTTACAACTTGCAAGGCTAATAATTTAGGTTATCTTCTGTAGCATATGTTTTTCCAGAAGTTTATTTCCTTGTGTAAAGCAGCCTTGCAAGATGTTTTTTATCTATGGAGCAAGGGCATAGGTTTGGTCTCAACACTGGTAGGAACACCCCTTCATCGAGTTTCTAGCCTGTCCATAATGATGATTTTGGTGACACTACTATCTGACAGTGAAGATAATAAACAAACTATTTTTTCCCAATAAAAATTCACCTAAATTATACAGAACCATATTTTTCCAAACTAAATGTTGTAGTACAATCACCAGATGGTCATTAGTGTGTGAAGTGATTTTGGTGACACTACAGTACATGAGTGAAGTTCCTGAATATT